CATACAAAAATATGAATTCTGGATGATGAATTCATTCTGGGTGAATGAGGACTAGGGTTGGGACTGATGACTCACCCAGCCAGGTATACAGTGGTGGTAAATGACACAAATCCTAGAGCGGTGGCAAATGACACTGGTGGCAAATAACACATATTCTTTCCAGTGGATGCTCAGTGATCGCAGCCCAGCGCGCCTTTCGGAATCGGTTTAATTTGGCCCTGTTGGCCCCTGTTCCGGACCGGAAATCAATTGTTTTGTGGCTCAATATGTTTAGACAAACTGCAAGTGCAACAAAACGAAAAACTGGAGTCCCATGGCCCATTAGATCACCTGAGAACTTTGGGGCAGTGAAAGCTTTATAATTATTGTTTTTATTATATTATAATTATTTACTATAAACATTTTATTTCATTTCCACGTGTTTCATATACATTTTGTACGTTGACGGAAAAAACTATATGTAACTAGCAGAGTACCCGTCCTTCATACAGAGTTGGTATATAAGTATAAAATGCTTATTGCAGTTATACTCGAGCTTTGCGTTTGAAATGGGGGAGGACACAGTTTGATAAAATTTGCATACTTAAATTTACGGTATACTATAGTATTACACATCTACGATAGCCATAATGTTCTACCACTTCACCTAAACAATAAAAAAATAGATTACGAAAAATTTGTAAATTATCACAAATTATTCATGAAATTAAAAATATAAACATAACTATAAACAATCCTACTAATACAGTTCTCATTGTGTATCACAGTTGTTCGTTGTTGCTTAGTTCAATAGCTGTTTTTATTCATGACAAAAATAATAGTGATGCAACCTGTTGGTAAATTTTATAACGTTTTAATGCTTTTGCATATCATAGAACAAACTTTGTTAGTTGTAACAGCTGACTAAATTCTTTAATTCCCTTTACATATGAATACTAATAAGGTTAACATGGGGAACTACAGAGGCACTGGGGCGGAGCCCGAAAGGGTTTTTGAAATAAGCATATGCATATATGTGATTCGGGAATGTGAGCTATTATCATGCCAATTTCAGCCCAATCCGTCCAGAACCTGACGAAGTTAATGCAGGTTAATGAATGTTGAAGTTAATGCGTGATTGAACTTCAAACAAACAAACAAACACACAAACTTTCACACATTTATAATATTAGTAAGATTTATACATTTGATGTATAAAATTAACGGGAAATGTCTAGAGAAAGCACAATAGGTATCGAAGTGTTAATTTGTATTTATCTTAATATTGTCAAAATTTGCGTAATAATACAAAATCCTTCCCATTCATGCCAGTTAAAATCCTTCACATTCACGAGAGTTCAGTCGAGCGGTGGTAATATGGGACAGTCTCCATCCTTGTTAACAATAGCTGGCTCGAGTCACGAGCCCAAGCCCTTCAGCAGGTATACCGGGGGAGATCATGGCAGAGGGAGACCTTTCCGGGGTGTGCATTTTGAAAACGATCGGGGGTAACGTATCCGGTTGACATTAATTGTGATTAGAAAATCGGGTAATTGTATATGATAAATGCATATAATTATCTAATTATTACGCAAACTCAAAATTAACTCGTCATATCGATTAGTGAATGCTGCAACTGAAATTGAGTGTCCGCGGCCGGAAACATCACCCCCGGTCTCTGACGTCATTATGACGTAGGGGGGTGATGTTTCCGGGGGCGACCTTTCCGCGTCCCCTGACTGGTCCACTGAGACAGAGCGACAACCAACTGACCACGTCCCCACGACACAGCTGACGGCCCTTGGTGACGTGACGGAGAGCGCACTGTCGTAGTGCGCACGTTCGCACCGTCTCTAGTGCACTGTCCATGTACATTGTACAACACTGTTTGATTTTGTTCAACGGGTTTTCTGGTTCATGTAGCCTACAGCCTGCTGTATAACCATCTATATGTACTAACTGGAAAACTTTAATCAACCAGACCTCACTCAATACTATACTAAGAACTTCCACAGGAATACTGTTTAATGTTACTAACGATTGGTAGATATTTTTTAATAACTTCGGATATTTTCATGTTTAAAAAAAAATCGTATACGTTGCAGATGTCTTGTATATAATCATATTAACAAAATAATCATCATTAACAAAATAACAATTAACAGGAAACTAATTAGTATCGTTATCCATTCTAATATGAAGCCGATGCTCGTTCTTATAAAGATAAGAAAACTGAAATGTTAATCAGAATGACAACTTCGATATCAAATTGTGTAGCATGCACATACGCTAACTTTTACTTAAAGTGCTGTCGCATAAATGATACTGGTGGATTTATTCACGGAGCTGTAGATTCTCAACTTTTATAATTATAACCATTGATTGTTGGTTGTTGTACTGAATGTTTTATTGGCTATTGTATCATGAATGCCACAAATTATCTTACTGTTTTACATAAATGATTTGATCTATCAAAAACAATGTGCTATGCACAAAAGAAACTGTATTTTACTTATAAAAAAAGTATCGGAAGTCCCAGCCCGCGCTATTTATATAGGCATTCTTCTCTCAAATATTTTGTTGGCAACTAAACAACTAACGTATAACAACTAGAAATACGAAAATAAATCAAATATATATCAATAAAAATATACCAATAATATTCAGTGTTTATATTTAAGACTATCAAGTCAAGTCAAGTCAAATAAATCTTTATTCAAACATACAACAAAGTGTACATGAATGCGTCTTAATCTTAAACTATAACTAATACTAAAACCATTTTCCTGATCCATTTTATTTTTTTACATATTTACATGTTTATTTACATATTTGAACATAGTGCAGTAAATTCTTCAAAATTATAAAACTCTCCACTAATTAGAAAATTCTTAAGCCTTTTTTTGAACTTATTTCCGTTTTCCTCATTTCTGATGCTACAAGGGAGGGAATGAAAAAATGTAACCCCAATATAATCAGGACTTTCTTTGAATTTTTCTTTTTTATGCTTTTTAATTATAAAATTTTGTTTGTGTCTAGTATTGTAAGTATGTACATCTTGCTGTCTTTGCAGTTGCGACTCCCGGCTTTTAACATATAATATAGTCTTATATATATAGAGGCTGTAAACTGTAAAGAATTCTAATTCTTTGAAACGATTTTTACATGATTCATTTTCATTTAAATTAAGGATGCACCTTATGGCCTCTTTTTGTAAATGTAAAATTTCATTTAAGTTAGATTTATTTGTTCCACCATAAATTTCAATGCCATAAGCAATATGGGAGTGTATATTTGAATAATAAACCACACGCAAAATTTCTTTACTGCAAAGGGGATATAGTCGTCTTAAAGTAAAAATACCGGAGCTAATTTTATTACATATTTTATTGACATGTGAGGTCCACTTTAGTGTACTGTCCAAGGTTAGACCTAAAAATTTGGTTTCACATGCAAAATTTTCAAATATCTTTTCGCCAGACTTTTTACATTCAAATTTGATAAAGGTTGTTTTGTTTTCATTAAGTAAAAGGTTTTTTTCATTTAGGTAATCTCCAATTATTTTGAGCGAATCTTTCATTTTTATTTCAAGAAGTTCAATATTCTTCTCATGTATAGACATACTTATGTCATCTGCATACAAGCAGAGGGCATTGTTTTCTACCCGTTCAGATAAATGTTTTGGCATCCCTCCCAAGTAGCACAGGAACAGGAATGGACCCAACACAGATCCCTGAGGAACAGAATACTTAGCTTCCCTAACATTAGATCTAACATTGTACATCTTATTTCCATCTAAATACCCAATGTTAACAAACTGTTGGCGGCCCTCTAAATAAGATTTTATCCAGTCCAGTTCTTTACCACTAATTCCATATGCTCTGAGTTTTTGCAGTAACTTTAAATGATTCACGCTATCAAAAGCCTTAGACATATCTAAAAAGGCGCCAACAACATAATTGTCCTCATCCAACTTATGTAATACATTTTCAATATAAGAAATTAGAGCTGTAGTAGTAGATTTATTTTTTCTATATCCATGCTGTTCTTGATCTAATAAGTGGTTATTTTCAAAATAATCTACTAGTTGAAAAAGTAAACTTTTTTCAAATAGCTTTGATAGAGCAGGTTGAATTGCCAATGGTCTATAGTTTTGCGGATCTTTTTTATCACCTTTTTTATATACTGGAATTATTTTTGATATTTTTAGTTGAGCGGGAAAAACGCCTGTTATTAGTGATGTATTAATCACATGTAAAAGTGGCTTTAACAAAACAGATTTTGATTCTTTAATAATTTTGATTGGAATTTCATCATAACCGGATGACCATTTAGGTTTTATTGAATCAATTATGGATGTCAAAATTGATTCATCGATGGTTTGACACCTAAATTTTATGTTTAAAATACTTTGATCAGAATGTTGTTGGGTTTTCTTTAATTTTGGTAAAACATTTTTGTCAACCATCTCAGCAAAATTATCATTTAAGATGTTTGCGACAGCATATGGTTCTTCTATTTTTTTGCCGTTATGTTTGAATAATTTTCTATTGCTAAGAAACTAAATCAGTAATTGGTAACTGATACCGGTACACTAATCTTTGTCGTAATATTTAGTTTTCCAAAAGTTGGACAATTTATTTCATTCACGTTGGCAGCAATGTGAGGACTTAATGTTCTGACAGTCAATCTTATATTCGTTAAAATATATACCCAGCAAACGTAAAGTACTCGGACTCATGAGGACCCAACGTTCCCATCGTGTATCAGATATATCATGAGTACTTAACGTTCTCCTCGTGTATATATATATATATATAAATATATATATATATATGAATTTGAACGGATGGTGTTTTTGGCCTCTAGGGACCTCAAAACGAAAAAAAAATTGGTCCCGCGTCCAGGTCTTACCATGAGTACTACGGTAATAGCTTATTCCCTATATGGGAAATTCGCTAAAAATGCATACATGCAGCAAATAAAAATTAAAGGCTGGTATAAAATAATAAGGTACTAACTGGCGCATCCAGAGTAAGAGAAGCCGTAGTGTTGAGGAAGGCAGTGGTGACACATCGGACCCTGGACACCAGGCAGGCAGGGACAAGCGCCAGTGACTGGGTCGCACATTTCACTGGCGACACCATCACCGGCACACTGGCACGGTACACAACCTGCAGTCACGTTGCCCAGCCCAGGCTAAACAAACACACACTGATAATGAAGGGGTATCTACAACTGAATTAGACCTACCTGGATGACACATAATTAAATGATTAGTGTTCTTCTTATCAAAAAGTTATATTATTCTTTCAAAAAGGTTGAAAGGTTGTGCTTGAGAAAACCGATTCTTGACCCAATTGTTAATTTAACAGGAGCTTGTTTTTTTATCCCTCAACTAGGCCAACTTGTAACCATAGAATATTGATCTGTGCGGTGATTATAAGACATAGCCTTAACATTATAATGAGAGTCGTATGAAAAAGCCATATATGGCTGCAGTTAGAAGATGAAGACAGTGCAGGCTGTCGGACTCCCACCAGCAATGTCTGTCTTGTGGGTCCAGGGCACTATCAAGCACTGAGCTATTGTTTTTTTACCAAGCATGTCAGTATAGATGTTTACTGAGCTATTCAATTCATAGATATTTTATTGGTGTTTGTAACTGACTTTGTTGTTAGTGTTGTAGCTGTTCATTTAAGAGCACATGATTTATCAATGGACACTGGTAAGTTAAAAAAAATGTCAATAATTTTCATTTGCAAACAAACCATTACAATTGCTGCACACCTGTTCTTAAGCATTCTTCACCACTACTTAACGGTAAGTATTTCAAAATGATTCAAACTTTAAGCTTAGATATTTGAACTACTTTCTACTTACAAGACATTGGTCACAGCTCCTTCCAGTGAATCTTTCCTTACATTCGCATTGTCCGTTCTCGGGATCACACTCTTCATCTAGCGATCCAATCTCATTGCATTCGCAGGCTGCAAACATATCACAATTAAGTATTCATTATTGCTGGTATCTATATTTCCAAACATTAACTTGAAAACTAAACCATGTTGCAACATCAAAACTACATAGAATTTTAATGTCAATATTTTTACCATAGGCCTTAAATCCTTAACACATTTAGAATCCTTAGGCCTTATCGTTAACACATAGCTGTCAAAATACCTGGGTTAGTACTTTTTGGAGTAAAATATCTATTAATTGAGTGTCTTCCACACTTACGTTTACAGTCGTGCAGTGAAGGGTCGCCGTAGTGTAGAGCCTTGCATTTCTCACATCGCCACCCCTCGGTGTTTCCTCGGCAACTGACACATTGCCCAGTCAGAGGGTCACACGGACTGTCGTCACAATCACACGGCTGACAGCTGGAGCCGGGCGTAGTCGGGCTGCCAAAGTACCCAGGGGCACACCTGCAAAAAAAAGCGTTAGTAGATAAGTATAAATATTGGAATTAAACATGCTGCAAGGGCAGGATTTAATGAAAAAGTAAAAGTAAATTTCTCCTAACTAATGGTACAGATTTTGTCGTTGACTACATCAACCATAAGATACATTTTAATTATTGGTATTGGTATGTTTTTTTTTTTTACTATTTAGTAAGTAGGCCTATTCTCTCGCACTCTTGAGTCTTTGAGACATGACACCCACTCAACTTGGACACTGAGTATGATCCATACTCTCAGAGAGATCAGTGGATTCCCTGGTCCTGTGAACCTCAGAATTAAAGACAGGACAAATTTGTAGTCGGATCGCTTTTTGAAAAACCTTATAAATCTGTTAATTTCCACCGTATGTATTAGTTATTTTTAGTGATGTAAAAGTACCTTACCATAGTCTGCTTTGTTAAGAGTTTCGTAATCCACATCTAATATCGTTAATGTAAATTATATATAGTGTTGGTGAAAACTACTTGCAAATACCATCCATGGTAAAAAACAATAAAATACTTAAATTTTTTATTTTAAAATTATTGAAGGAAAAACAGGATCCCACAACAGTACCGGTACTGCTCGTATTTTAATCCTTTTAGCTGTAAAAACGTAATTCAGAGGACTCCCATTTTCAAATTACATACTGTAAAACTAGGTTAGTTGTGCCAGTGCCATCAATAATATAAGTATATTCCAAGAAACCTGAAGTCTCAATACTTCAAACTTAATTCACTATCTTGAACCACTAGATTGAACAAATGATATCCCAAAAACATACTCTTGACAGTGACGGCCTTGGTATCCCTCGGGGCACTGAGTACACACATGGTCATCTCCCTCAGCGTGACACGAGGGGCTGAAGTTGTTGCCAGGGGTAGTGAGGGGACAGGAGCAAGGGCGACAGTCCTGGGGTGTCTGGCGAGTAGCGTCTCCGTAGTAACCCGCTGCACAGCTCTCACAGTTGGCACCTACGGTGTTGTGTACACACTCCTGTAACAAGTAAATAATTTAGTAGTTACTCGAATGTCCACGATTTCATCAAAACTAAACCAAATTAAATCAACCAAGTTAAATCAAAACTAACTATGGATAGTGGAGGGGTATTTCCAAAACAGGGTGGTTCTATAAAACAGTAAAAGCGGCCACATTTCCATTTTATCCTATAGAAATAAGTTTTTAGAGTTTTTAATGCTTGGATATGAAGCTGCATCTCCAAAATTGTTTTTATAAAGGACATTTGATAGCCCTACTCACTTTTGCACAGGAAGGTACAAGTAATATCATACTTCTTGTTCTTGATTAATAATTTAATCAAATTCTTAACTATAATTCTTGTGTAGTTTTTCATCCAACCCATGCTTTAGCTTCACTCACCCCACACTGGCCTGTGACCGGATCACATGAGGCTGCGTGTCCGTGGCAGTTACACTTGGAGCAGACAGCGTGTTGGCGTGCGTTGGAACCGTCCGGTAGTATCCTAGCAAAGCCAAAGTCACAGTCTTCACAGGACAGCCCTGCGTAACCGAGTGGACAGTGGCACTGCTCTAGGTAGCCCACGGCAGTCCCTCCTACACTCAGTCCCTTCACACCTGTCTCAAGCGAGGCAAACGCCAGACTGTGGACAGACAACAGATCAGGATAAATAACAAAAGGGTAAAATGTTTCATTCGATAAATTACAATTAAATGTGAAAAAATGTATCTAATATTATCAAAGCGATTGTTGGAAAATCATTTCCTCTTATTTCTTTTCAAGGGATGCAAAATTTTCCTAGTCAGTCCTCAATATCCAGTCTTATCAGTCAACTATGTTCATTAATTTTTTTTTTTTTTTTTTAACTGGCTATTATAAACATATGGATGGGATATCTAAACACTGAAGGCCTTTGCAAATTGGCAAATGAGATTAAGTAAAGAGGAAAACTGGAATTAGTAAATAGGGATTAGTTTTCAAATACTAACCTCCCCTCTACTTGGTCAGTGTGGAACTTTGCCCTCAGCATCAGATACTTGACATTGGCCAGTACACTCAGTATCAGCTGTCTGGTGGCTGGTCCTCCCTCCAGCTGGTACCAGCCAGTTTCTACCAGTTGCACTGTCACACTCATGTTGTTCTGATGATACCAGCTCTCTCCGTACCCCAGATGTACCCCATTCTCTCCCTAGTGGTAAAACAAAAGACGGTTTATTCTTTGAGGTTTAAATTTATAAAAGAATTATCAAATTTGTGTTGTCTTAGCATAGCTTTTATTTCACTTTGTGATCATGGTTCTCTTAATTTTCATCCAAATCTTTGATTTAAAAAAATTTTGTATGAAAATCTTTGTTAAAACTCCTAGACTACGTCCTGAGGTGTAGCCCTTACCACCAGTACAATATCAGGACCCATGGTGGGTTTGCCGCTAGTGTCGCCTCGCATGACGACCCAGCTGACCCGGAAGGTTAGTGTGGCTCCGTAGCTGGTCAGCTTGTTGCCGAGGTACTCCCCGGGCGCCAGCCAATAGTAGCTCTCCAGGTCGGGCAGCTCGTAGTTACCCACAGACAGCAGCCCTGTGTCTGGGTCCAGTGAGGGCAGAACTGTCCGGCTCACGTTTAAGTCACTAATCAGCCAGTTGGCCAGGGTGTTCACCTTACCAAGACAAAACCAGGGTTACCATTACAATGGAATGAACCATAGCCTACATCATTCAATTACACAAATAAGACATGTAACAGGCAACCACTAACTATGATTCTGCTGGAGAGTTTCTTAAGCAAATGCAAAAATTATGACACAGTGACTATAAGAGTGCTAAACATATTTTTTTAGTTAGTATTCTTAAAGTTGTTTTTGTAATGGAGTCAGTTGTGTGTCATGTGAGAAATGGTAGTGTGGTTAGGTTGAGTTTCATGACAAATTACAGAAAGTAAATGAAAAAGTTTTAAGCAAGTTGGTAGAAAATGAGAATCCTTATGAAGAGGACATTGAAAAGGAGATAGCAACAGCTTCTGAATACAATGAGAAGTATCATGAGGTAACTATGTTAGTTCAAAATACTCAGCTAGCTGTTGCAGTTGATTCACATTAAAATATTAGTATACTGGCCCCTTCAAATTGTAAAGTAAGACTCCCAAAAATTGAGCTTAAAAAATTTGATGGAGAAATAAAAAATTTGATTGGGTTTTGGTCTCAATTTGCTAAAATACATGATGACAATAATTTGAAAGACGAAGTAAAATTTGAGTGTCTTTACCAATCAATGAAACCCGATTCTCCTGCTCAAAAACTCATTGAAGTTTTTCCAGCATCTATAGAAAACTATGCAAAAGCTGTAGATGTTTTGAAGTCCCGATATGGGAAAGACGAGTTCCTCATTGAATATTATGTAAAGGAATTGTTAACCCTAGTTCTTAAAAGAGAGGACAATCTTTCTGTGACATATCTTTATGATAAATTGGGGGTTCAGCTTAGATCTTTAGATTCATTGGGTGTAACCAAAGACAATTTGCAGCAACAATTTTCCCTTTAGTAGAATCAGCTATCCCAGAACCTGTGTTTAAAGTCTGGGAAAGACACCGTGTTCTACACATTGCATCAACTAAAGAACCAGAAAATTGTCTCGTTCAGCTTTTGAATTTTTTAAAAGTTGAAGTTGATGCAGAGGAAAGATTAAAGTTGTGGGTTAATAAGTTTGATCAAGATACTGTTGGTAAACAAGAATGTAAAACGACTAAATCTGTAAAGCCAAAGACAAGCGTCAACGTTACACCACATCTCAAGCAAGACCAAGATGGATGTCCTTTTGTGGTTTGAGATGGCCTTATAGGTTAAGTAACAATTTAACATAATTCACTTTGACTAAAATTAGATATTATATCACTCCTTAGCAATGAAGTGTTACACCCCAATCTCTATTTATCTATAAAATTGAGCAACTCCGATAAATTATTGACATTTTATTTAGTTCAGGACAAAAACCTAACCTTAAAAAATCTTGTTTTGCAATTCCTGTGAGAAACAAAGCGAGAAATTGTTAATGAAAAATCAAAACAGTATTACCAGTAACTTACCTCATGTAGCCTATACCCTGAGGCCTCCACACAAGAGTGGGTGACTCCAGAACAGTAACACTCTGTACAGCCATCCGGATTGTCTCTGTCCAAGAAAAAGTAGCCTGGCTTGCATCTCTCACACCGGTCACCTTCCACATTGGTCTGTGTGAAATAACATTATACAGTACGAAATACAGTTAAGGTAGGACATGGAACAAGAATGAACCTTTTACGGAGGTTCACAAAAAAAGTGGTGTACAAAACTAAGTAGTAAAGTTGACAGTTGAGTTTGTTATTATTAAAATCAATAAAAAATAATGGTGATATGTTTTTAACTTGTTCTAAAGTAAAAAGTAAAGTAGCTTTTTGGTATATCCTAATGTTTTTGGGATATCTAGTGTTGCCGATACTGGCCTTTGAAATAAATGGCATTATAGATGGCTCCAAAGAGCACAGTGAACGTATCCCACTGAATAGTATGAAATAGAAATGTACATAGAGTTTAAGAGAAACTAATGTTAAGACCCACCTTGCATTGGCAGGTGCTGCCGCAGTTGTGAGTGGCTAGAGAGCCGTCCGGGTCGCAAGGGCAAGGCTCACAGTTGGGGAAGTTGTGGAAGCCGACCGCGCAGGAGTCACACTTAGCTCCAGTAAAACCCACAAGACACTCGCAAGTGCCTGCTGGCTGGCACAGAACAATCACATCAGTACAAGCCACTCTTTATCTTTCAGTTTAATAAATACAATCTATGTACGTACATGGTACAGTATTCTACTTTTGTAATGATTATGGGTATTTTTGGAATGTGAGACAGTTCAGCCAGCTTACCTGAGAAATTTAGAGTTAAGAGGGCTTAAAGAGATACACGATAAAATCTCAAGTGCAATTGTACTTCTAGGCCCTCCCCCTTTTATATCGGCTTACCTCTTTACCTAATTATTGTTTTAGAGTTCCAATGTTCCAATCACAATGTAGTCCAGCAATCAACAGATTTGAGGGGTTTTGCTTAAATTGATGATCTCTAATGCCTGAAAAGTGTACCAAGTAGTACAACTTTGTACGGTAGACTCTCGCTCATCCGGATCAGCCTTGTCCGGACTCCCGGTAGTCGGGATCGGCAATCGTGATTTTTTTTTTTAGCGGCACAGTACAGTAGAAGTCCGATTATCTGAGCGAAACGGGACCGAGACTACCTCGAATAATGAAAAAAATCGGATAAAACAGCGGTAAAAATTATTACCGGTGGAAGTCCATATGCCCGGGCTATCATTACTGTGGACCTGGAACAAAATTCAACCAAAAAAATTATGACCGGGGGAAGTGCATATGCCCGGGCTGTCATTACTGTGGACCTGGAACAAAATTCGGCAGAAAAGATTATTACCGGTGGAAGTGCATATGCCCGGGCTATCATTACTTTGGACCTAGAAATAAATTGAAAAATCTGCTATATACAGTACTGTGTATTTGCTCGACTCTCGATAGTCCAGATTTTTCGTAATCCGGACCGGACGTCCGCCACATTTGTCCGGATGAGCGAGAGTCTCCTGTAGTAATAGGTTACATAACTGAAAGGTTTTTGAGTGAAATACTGTATTTGATGAATACTGTAGTTACTGCCACTTTTAAAAATGGCCCAGGGGCGCATGAGGTTTTAATTTTGTAGGGGGCGTTATGAAGAGAAAGTTTCCCCACAAGGTAGGTGGAGAGGGGCGTAATTAACTCTCAGGCTCATAGCGAATCACATGCAAACCGCCGGCTTGCTGTAGTTCTCTATAAGATATTAAGTTTAAGCTTCTGTAAGAAACTGGTAAGAAAGAGGCTGGGGATTTTAATATATTTATTGAATGAAAAAGGATTAATATAAGACACAACAGGGTGCATATCTCAAGGCAAATATGAAGGATAAGTGAAGGATAAATGCAGAATGAATGAGACCACAGCTTTTGTTACCGATCAAGATCAGCTGGTTTTTGGCCGGGACCATTATTAAAAGCCCTTACTAAGGACAACTTAGGAAACTTTTCAAACAATATAAAAGTTGCTAACTTTTAAGAATTTAATATCTCCTACTAGTACCTTAAATATTTACACCTTCACAAGTGTTCTGTGTGGATTACCTTTCCCTGGGAGTCGTCCCTAGCACACAGGCCGCTGGAGCCCTGTCTGTGACAGTTACATGGCAGACAAGGCTCTGCTGCGTCCGGTCTCACACCCAGCGGCCGGTACCAGCCAGCCTCACACTGCTCACAGTTCACGCCCGTCGTGTGTTTCTGGACAGCAGAACAGAGCATTCAAAACAGATAGTATGATAAATCAAGATCAAGTCATCTATTTGGTAGTAGTCTCTGTCATAGACTACGACAAACAGTTCTTAATTGAATAATGTGTACAGTGGAATATCTGTTATCCAACAAAAACTTACCACAGTAAAGTTAGATAACCGGAACGATTAGAAAACATAGATTTAATAAAAAACAAACCATGTAAACAAACTGGGAATCCCTAATATGTTTACTGTCAAAAAACTATTACCGGTACCCTTCCATTCAGGCGCAGGTTTATATCTCAGATCCCTCTCTCTACAACTAATGTGTAAAGTACTCACATGTTACTGCAAACCTCTTAAAGAGCCAACCTTGATTCCAAGTCTTACTTGGTAATCTCCATGAGAGACTACCATGAGAGACTTCTTATCGAGGTTCAACAGTGTTTGTATTACGTCCTCTAGTCAAATCTGATCTAAACCATTACACTTACCGAGCAGTTGTTGCACACTCCGCCGCCAGAGAAGACTCCGTACATGTTGAGGCTGAGCCGAGCTGCAGCAACAGCTGGATCATAATGGCAGGACGAGGAGTGTCCGAAGCACTGACACTGATGACACACACTGCCCGGTCGCCACGGCTCCTGGTGGTACAGTGGACAGCAGCGGTCGCAGTGAGGACCACAAGTGTTATGGCTGCATTCACACTCCGACTCCTATAGAGAAAAAACATATTAATATGCGTTTGGTGCTTGATTTCCTGGGGATTGAGTAATCGGAACTCTACAATAGCCTAACTACTAGGATCTCAGACACTCCTCTCCATTTTCTTGCTTCCACAAAATAATAGAGCTATATGGCACAACAAAAATATGCATTATAGTATTTGTTGGGAAAAATTATCTAACAATTTTACATAAGAGTTTTGTAATTTCAGCTTCAAGTAGTCTTGAATCACTAAAACAAATAAATAAGAGGTTATTTTACCTTGATGTTGTCTAGTAATACCTTTACCTCTAAGAATGGATGATCATTTTTTCACCGACTATGTATGATACTGACTGAGACGATTGTCGTCCACACTAAGAAGTGGTAAAGGAATCCCTCCTAGACAAAAATCAAGGTAAAATAACCTTTTATTGAAAAGAAAGTTTCAAAATTCTGTTTTCCTAAACTTGAACTCAGCCATATCTGAGAAAAAATACATCATAAGGACAAAACAATTTGAGCTGACTACAAACACCACTTCTTAACTCACCCCACTAGATGAACTGAATCTGCACTCAGATGCATGTCCATTACAGATGCACTGGCCTCCCACAGTGACGTCTTTTATGGTGTAAAACATCTTCTTGGGAAAGTCAACATTCTTGAAGAAACGGTCCTTGGAGGTAGGAGCTATGAGGCCTTGCAGTCTCAGCCGGATGTAGCGAGCTCTTGTAAACCTCAGGAGCTCCTCACTGGAAGAGTTCGCACCTGGACGGCCTCTCACCAGCGACACGTGGATCTGTAGTTAACCCAGATTTTTTTTTATAAAAGGTTTAACAAGACAGTGATCTTTAACCAAAGCATTAAAGAGCAAACATCTTGTTGGTGGGTTCAAACTAATATCGGTGGCAGTAGCAGATTATAAGAGGACTTCAGAGTGACATGACTTTTCAACCGAGAACAACCAGATCACTTGATCAATTATAAAATGGAATAATATCCTATTTCATTCCGGACACAGTTTTAAGTGTTATTATCACTACTAATAATGATCCTTCCAGCAACGATTTCCTGTTCAAATTTTTGTTAACAATCAAATCTCTTCTAACAGTATGAGAAACAGTTAACAACAGGATTTTGACAGACCATTTTTAAAACTTCATAATAGTCTTTGGCAACGGTACTAAGTAAAAGAATACACTCTCTAACAAAAAATAATAATCAAATTACCAAGATTGGATAGGCTAGCCGTTTCTATACAAACTCTACCCCCAGTGAGTTTATGTATACCCATCTTTCTTTACATAGCCTGCCTATCTTTAAGTCCCTAAATTTAAACATCCTTCTGGTATTGGATCAATTTCCTACGGAATAGGTCAGCGTTAGACAATAACAAGACCAGGATTTAGACCTAAAAACGTTACCAATGGAGCTGAAAAAGCCAAAAAAAGATTCACACACCTCGCCATTTTCAAACGGCTTAGGCTTGGTGGAGAAGTAGGAGGTGCAGATGACATCAGAGTCCGTCTGCAGATCGGTGTTGTGAGGTGCTGGTCGCACTCCATGGCGTGTCCAACACTCCTCGTCCGAGGGGGCGAAGTACTGCCAGGGACTCCACACCTCACCATCTCTTGACTTCTCCAGCACCCAGGACCCTGGACGTGGGGAAGGGCCAGCCTTCACGATCACATACTGCACTTGGTACTCCTGCAAAGAAAGGACATGTTACAGAGGTAGGCCTTATGGTTATGCTTATCTCTAAGGATTTTTTCACTTGAAAGAATGTTCTTCTTTTCTTGCCTACCTACTGTCCCTCATATTGTATCGGTCCCTCTGAAAAGTCATGAAATGTTTTTGTTCAAAGAAGTATCAGTTTAAAGATGTTTCAAGATCTCATACAGGGTTAAGATATTTTATATGTTAAATAAGGATTTTAGATTTCAAACCAAGTGTTCTTAGTTAGGGAGTAAACAAATGAATCGAAATACCATGATTTTTTTACTTCTTTTATGATCAACCGATTTAATATTAGCCAACACAATCTATCATGAGAGTGTGGAAGGTTTTTTTTATATTGAATTCGAAAGTGTCAATAATGTTTATAACTGTATGTTATTTTACAATGTCTCCTACAAACGTCTTCTAAGTTAGTACTAACTCTTCTTAGGCCTACTTTCTAGTAATGACCTAATAATTTTAATAATATTCCTAACTTTCAAGGTATACTGGTAAAAGAAACAAAACTACAGCATTTTGAATAATATTTCCATTATATCCTGATTCCACTTTCACTTTGTTTGTTTTGTCGTCATTTGCGAGTGTAAACATAACCTCAAATATTTCATCACAATTTTTTCGTTGTTTTGATTTGGAACAGTTTTTTTTTGTTGTTGTTGCATCAGCTGACTTTCTGACAGCTAACTGATAAAGAATCTGTACACCACGTCTCGAAACGTGTTTTTTGCCGTTTATTTTGGCTCTTTTTCTATAATTTTGAACAGAAAAACTCGTGTCGCGATGAACTTGTATGATTATAATATAACCACGTTTCAGGAATATAACAGAAACAGATTCATATTTTTGTTTTACTAGTCAGTGATAGAAGATAGAATCCTTACGTTGTTTCTAAATTGGCATAGCACCTCTTCCTACCGAAGAGGTTTTTTTTTTTAGAAAGAGCTGATAAGAAAGCACTAAACAACATTGAGTATTTGGATTGACAAACATGGCTTCATGGCTACCGAACATTTTATGGGTACAGCAATTGATTATATCACATGGGAAGTCTATTCTGTGTATAGTCAATGGTACAACTGAACCTTTGCTTCATAGACAAACAATTTTACCGAAAAAAGGGGTTTTGTTTATGCACAGGGTTTTATGCAAGACCAAACTACCTGCAAAATCATCATCACCCCAGAATCCTTTACAATCTGCCAAACACCATTAGTTATTTCAGTCAATAAAGGGTTTGATCACGTCACCCACCACCGAAGAACGCGACAAGAATCGATTCGATCTTGATTCTTGACCACCATGACAGCTACAATAGAAACAGACATCGTGCTAGGCATAATAGACAGCATTGCGTAACAATACATGCGTGATGCGTGACAAAAATTCAAGATGGCGACCAATGAGTTGATTGAAGGCCGTTCTGGATAAATAAAGCAATTAAACAGACCACGAGATGACGTGAGACGTGATTACAGGGCGCTAACCGATGGTTTGGTCGGGGGTTTATGGTGGTCGTTGGAGTGACCGAAAACAGACCGCCGCCGCCGGGTCATCTGTGGTATTGATGGTGGTCATTTAGACTGAACGACTTACTCGGGATAATGAAGACTTCGTATCGACAGGAGTACTTCGACCGAGAGCAAGAACAATTCGGCCAAGTAGTTATTAAGATTCCACAAAAAAAAAATTAAAATGTGTTAAGGTTATTAGTCTGTATAGTGAGCTATAAGAGTGTTCTCGTTCTGGTATTTCCCTAGTTGTTATAATATTTAAGATGTCAGTTTACACAGTTTGCGTATTCCATAACGTATTTATGAGCTAAGCAATAGTTTTGGGTGAGATTTCTAGTAGTGGGAAGATCTTGATGAATTTTGAATGAATTATATGACAGCTTTGTTATTGGCTAACTATTAGTGGTTCCTTGGTCAGGGATTCTTTATGAAAAATCCAATGACGAAGGACAGTTGGGTCAATTTTTGAACAATAAAAAAACTTAATGATTTTTCCTATAGCGACATTTTGATTACAAGGCGAGCACTCAGCTACCCAGCTGTGCTTCTTAAATTGAATCCACGACAAAGGCATGTGTATTGTATGATCCCCGTGCAAAACACACGCTGATATTAACAATCACAAAAATATATTAAAAGTGAGTTGAACAGTTTATCATTTCTTCCAAGGAGGGGAAATTAGTAACTCTAATCGTGGTTCTGCCATTAGCACTCATTTCCGAAGGTCACTTTCCTCAACAATTTACATTGGCTAAGTACCGACAAGGCTAATAGGTTCATCCGCAAGCACAGAGGTAGTAAAGTAATAAAACAAAAGTCAAATAATTGGTTTCTTACAGGCTTAATTTCAACAGCACCATAGGAGTGTTTTATTTCGCACTTTTTCACATGAGAAATGCACTTGTCCGTCCAGATGTCCGGTAACACTGCCAGTTGATCTAAAACTCCAGAAATGCCGTCGGTCCGCATTCCACAATTCCAGCGTTCACTGTTTCATCGTTACAAATTCCACGTTTTTCAGCCAAACCGTGCAGATGGAAATGAGCTCCGAACCGGAGCCTTTTCTGGGAACAGAGCGTACTCCAGGGTACGTGATCTGGATGGGAGAGTGGACAAAAACTCCTGTGGGAGAAAGATAGGGATCTCATCGGCTGCCGCGGACGTGGCTGCAATAGCTGATGTCTAGTGGCGAAGGAGTAGGCAGATGGCAGGATAAAACACGGATAAATCCTCCTAAATTAATAGGTTAGTGTATTATGAAATGAAACTATAGAGGGTTAGAACATGCAACCATAGTGAATATCTTTCAAGGTACAACAGGAAGGATTTATATATGCAGTTATTAAAAGAACTAGTGACACAATGGTTTTATGGTTCACGTTTTGGATAGGAATCGGCTTCGGAGGAAACTTCGTTTAGCTCTGAGTGCAAGAGTTGTATGTATGAATTCACCAGAGAATAAAATACTGGCAAGAGTATACTGGGGAGATGAGAAACTCGATTCTAGGACCAGTTAGTTAGCGATGAGCGACTTGTTACACAATCTTCACTGATTGTAATTTATATGGGAACGAGGAAACTAGAGATCATGCAATGCTAACAACATTAAGTGGGCAAACTGAAGAGCCGAGTATGAAAATGTAAACTCATTATCAGGTGAATAAACAGCAACATGGTACAGTACATAGCAGACGCTGTCGTGGTCAAAATTAAAAATGAACTGAATGAATGTCTGAGCTTACTTTCCATTGACATAGGGAACTGCGTGTAATCTCAGATTATTTAATATTTACAGTAATACACTATTCAAGCAAAAGGTGTAGCATAGCACTGGCATACATAATTGAAATGCATGAATTTTCTATAGGAAACATTCAACCTTATCACTTGCTTTTTGATTAATCCTGATTTAATAAATTCCTATAAAGTTGAAGTATATTCTATCGATTGCAGCATACAGAGCAGCAGACACGTGCAATGTTCTCGTATTGTCAGAACAGTTCAAAGCCCTCACCCATCTTCGAATCTCATCGACACGGAGAGCTGGAGTGTTCAATAGGACTATTTCACAGCATGTTAAGAAAACATTTGTGGTCTTTTTGCATTGTAAATTGAGCCCGTTGTGATGCAGACGGCTGGACATATACACACACGCACACACACACACACATGCATGACCGCAGATCGGCGCGGAGGTCTCGTCTGACCACGTGCGCAACATTACCATAACTTGCGACAAAAAAATCTCCGCCTCTCAAACGACTCCGTAAATTCCTGGGCTGTTGACAAATATGACGTTTCCCAAGTGTGAGAAAGGGAGCCGACTGAATCTTAAGTGTAAAGTTTATGCGTGGCGTTCTCAGTGGCATGCGCTGAATAAAATCCCTTCGGTGAAGTCGGGACGGTCGTACATAACTGAAACTAGTGCATCATAAGGGAGTCATAGTAGCAAAGTGGGGCATGAGGAAGCAAAGTAAATTTTGTATTGATTTTTTCAGGGTTATCAAGGGTCGAAAAAGATTCTTAACAAAAAAATACTCTTTGGACACGTCTTAAACTATTTTTTAATTATTTCGAACGATTAAGATATTTGCCATGGTATAAACTACCGTTTGCGGGGGCGCAGCGTAACGTCGCGGCGGACACCCGATCCTTGTTTTCCACCTGACTTGACAATTCAGGAGGATCCGGTGACCTCAGGACCATCGGAAACTCCAGTTGCGAAACCAAAGTTTAGACAAAGCGAAACCTTCCGGATCAGATTGCCTTGATTACTTGTGAGACAATATTCTTGTGGAGTTGAATGGCTTTGTGTCCACATGTTGACAGCTTATGGGCATTCGTGGTGAAACAAGATAGTTTCCAAACAGAGGCAAACTTTGTTCGTGTGCATGTTGACTATGCGAATACAAACAACCAGTTGCTAATTTTAATTCTTTAGATTTAACTTATTTCTCAATTCCAACAGGACACAATCACAATCGCGGCTAACTAATTACTTCCGACTGCGATTTCCACCTTTGCCAAAGTTGTAAAACACCAGCTGGGCGCCACCACGTCACCTGACATCTGTTTTTGATCTCGCGCCAAATTGGCAACATCCGGTGAGACAAGACCTACGCCAACCTTTTTCTACGGTGGCCAATCCCGTTCAACTTTGCAGATCCGTATACCACCTAGATCTTACAGGCCAATTTCTGTGTTAAACTTTGGGTTCCATATGTGTACATTTTCATTTATTCTCATCTCCATCATGATATTTAAAGAATATCGTTTCGTTTATTTTGACCTTTAAACTAGGCACTATAATGGGGTTTTGTCGTAGTCCACTGACCTCCCACTATAAGGCTCAATCTGTTATTATCCACACCGCTCGCCTTGGGGTAGGTAACATTCATGAGACAAGCGCTCTATGCGTCAATCACAGTTAAATGTCATCTATATCGCGTATGTTCTTAG